AAGAGTTGGCCTTCCCTCTAGTCTTTCACTGCTAAATTAGGGACGGCTAGCGCAGATAGCCCTCGTGTAGCTTAAAATGTTCACGCGATTTTTTCAGTTTGGTTCATGAGCATGTTGATTAGGTTCATGAGCAGATGTTAAATAACAGAGTTTTTCATCCAAGAATGAATTCTAGGATTTGTCATTTTAGTTAGTTTGTTCGTTTTAGAGCAAACCAACAATCGGCTATCTGCTGTGTTCTCCGCGTGAAATTGAACCTCGGATTTTAGCGTTGTAAGTTCGTAGATTTACTGCTCTCCTACCGGGGTACTTGTAATTTTAGAACTGAACTTAAGTAAGAACTCCCCAAGGAAATTTACATTTATTCAAAAATACCATGACAGAAAATGGATTAGGTTAATTTTAGACGCCAAATTTTGATTTTGCATACATAAAGTTTTAAAGTCTTGTACAAAAAAATAGCTTTCAGGAAAAAATTAAAAACAAATTAAAACTTTTAATTAAAAATTATAACCTAAATTGAAAAAAAAAAGACTTTTTCATTTTTAAATAGATGTAATTTCATTTAGGACTTCCAGAATAAACTAAAGAACTGTCAATTAAAAGAACAGAAAGAAAGAAAAATTAATTACATACGGTACTAATTTACTGATTTCAAGTTGAACATAGCAAGTTAATCTCTAAATAATAAAATTATTCCTTAAAGCTCCATGACATAGCTGTTATTCAGCCTGAAAATTAATTACAGACTGCTTTCTGATCTATGGAGATCAAGTAGGTTAAGGAATAAAGCTTCTTACAAATCCCCAAGAATAATTTAAGTCCATAGATTTCATGAAGCAAGTTACTTCATTAAGAACACGCCAATAAACAATGAGATATAAAAGCAACTGGCTGAATATACACAGCGGTATGAAAACGTCCAGTTGTGTATGTTGCTGTTAGTAAAAATAATTATTCATCTCGGTAGAAAGCTTGTTTGCAGTTAAGCACAAAGCTTAACAAAGGGCAACGTGTGCTCTGCCCACCACG